CGGACCCTCCTTTTATCGTGTCAACTCTCTCGACCAATTCTCGTATGACACCAACCAGGGCCTCTTCGTTAGTCCCTGCAGAAGAGCTAGGTTTCCCTCGTCCTGCCATTTTAACCATAAACTTCGCCGGATATCTCTCTTCCTTTCACTTAGGTCCTCCTCTTTCTTATTTTTCAATCCCTTACTCTTCTTGCAAGGGATACAGGCTCGTTTCTCTTTTCCCTTGTTTGCTCTACCCCTTGAGAGTTTTGTACATAGAGAGTGTAGGCAATAATAGACTGGGTGGTGATCATAGGCAACGCAATTCTTCTCAGTCTTCCAATATAATTTTCAATCAGTTATCTTTCATCATCCCTACTCTTTCTTATTTTTCAATCCCTTACTATCTTCTGTTATACCCTTTCACAGTACCCCTGATCATAAAGTATCGTGTCAGATCTATAATCTCATAGTCAAATTGCATAGCTTACGAACCGCTGTTGATTCTTTTGGTAAGAGAGATTCGTTCTCTAAAAAAGTGATATGATACTCTCAGTAATTCTCATTCTCACTACCTTCAGTAAATAGTTGATCTCAGTCTGGTCAGTGACGACTCTCAGAGCGGAGTCTCTCATCCTATCAAAGAAAGGTTGCAGAAACTCAAGTTCATCCAAAGTAGAGAGACCTCTATCTGAGATCCGAAGAGTCCCTTCTGTCCTAACAACTGTACCTTCCAATACAACCTCGAATGTTAGCTGCTCAACTGTATCATGCATTATCGACCATCATGAACAGTGTCAGGAGAGGTAGATCTCAGGATGAATATAGTTAGGGATCTCGAACTGATGTTCAAAAGTGTTTAAGAGTAGGGACTTTATCATCACTATGGAGTCACTCTCCCTTGCGTTACCTGCTATGGCAATGGCTTCCAGAAGAGGCGACCAGTCTCTCCTGTCGTCAATATATTAGGGAGTCTCTCAAATGCCTTATTCCTTCTCCCCAAGTTACTTTCCTCTATAATTTTTCCAACCACTCTTTTGTCCTTATAAGACTAATATAAGCTCCTAACCGGCATTCCAAATCATTAGCTTCCTTGTCTAGGCATATCGGAGCGTAGATCCGTACGTCCAAGCTACCTGTGTTCAGGAATTTGACTACTGGAATGTGAAATATTATTTTCCCTCTTACACAAGTCTCGTATCTCAGGATTACAAAGGGATTATTAGACCCAGTTACTTCATAAAGTCTACCTCTCACAACAGTATTCTTCTTGAGCCCTCTTCACCTTCCATACAAAATCTATCATGACTGACCAATTATTCCTTGAAAGCATAAGCCCTTCAACAAGTGAAGACGGTATCCCAGTAAAAGGCCTGACGTAAGTACTCCAAGAGAAGCTCTCCCCTACTCGTTCAAAAACAAGTCTTCTCTTTTCATCATGCACAACATATGATGCTCGTTGCCAACATCGACCACTTCTACACTCTTCAAACCTATGTCGTGGCACGTAGATCCCAATATCAAACTCATCAAGATCAATAAAATAGCAGGTAAGAACATACATACCATCATGTTCTCATCCCGGATTCCTTAGTGCCTCATACCGCGTCGGTGTGCACCCCCCCCACCTTCCTCCCAACGCTGCGCGTGTCGGCCTGACCCCCCTCCCAACCGTCACCTGCGCGTGCGCCCCACTTTGGCCTGCTTTGATTTTTGGTCCGCACGTCGGCCGACCCCCCCACTTCGCTTTTGCCTCGCCGCCTGGGCCTCCGCCTCGCCCCCGCACCGCTTCGCCTTGGCCTCGCCCCCGCACCGCTTCCCCTTGGCCTCGCCCCCGCACCGGTTCCACTGGCCAGTTCCCGCCTCGGCCTCACCCCCGCACCGGTTCCACTGCCCAGTTGCCTCTCTCCAACGACTTCCGTTGTGCCCGCGACCGGGCATGTCATCGGGCCCTCTGTTTCCTTTAGTAGTATTGAGAAGCCTTAGATCTGGAGGCAAATCTAGGGCTCCTGCAGACAAGTTCTTATTGATGGGAGAAAGAAGATCCCACAACACTGAAAGAAGGGTAGTCGCCTCATGATGATTGATTTTGATGGGAATTAGGTGGAGATAGATGACATTTCCGATCTTGTAGGAGAGAGAGAGATAGGCGGCGAGGAAAGTGTTGAGAAAGGAACCCTCGCCGCAGCAACAAAGGGAAATTCAGCTGGCCAGCGTAAGGGCGGCTAGCAAAAGAGTCAGGGCAAGGCTCGTGTTTCTCCCAATGCGCCTACATGGGTGAAAGCTGGTCTTGAACACGACGTGTGGAAAGACCGTTACTCGCGTGGCGCTTGCATCAGCTGCAGCTAATATGGGCATACACAGTATAAGTGTAAGAATACAAAGGTCTCTCTGAAGATCCCAGCCACAATGGGTGTTAGCGGATCTTCAACCCAGGAAGGTGTGCGAGCACATCCTAGGGAAAGTCTTAGGGCCAGTAGAAGTTATAGCTGCTTCTACTCGTGCTGATGTGGAGGATGTTCCCTCACCACTTTAGGAGATGGCCAAAGCTATTGACTGTTTAGACACCCTGCAGACAAGTTTAGACCAAGCGATGCTCTATTCGTTAGACGTGTCTACGCCTGAGAAGACTTAAGAGGAGTGGCTTGAAAAAGACCCTCGAGAGTCTTGGGTGGCAATGTCAAAAGGTCCTAGAGGGGAGCACTTGGTTGTGGAAGTCAGTGTGGGTGGCCGTAAGTGTAGCACCTTCGCATACATTGGCTCCACTTGAAACTTCATAAGTCACAACTTTGTTGGGAGGCTGTGCTTAGGGGACCGGGTGCAGCAACCGAGTAGAGTTGTAGCTTCTACCTTGGCCAACAAGAAGCGCATGGTTCTACGTGAAGGACGTGGTCTGCACCTTCTCCTATGGAGGGGGGTAACTTGATCATAAAATTTTGTTCTTGGTTAGCGACGGCTTACCTTTCGACATGTTGTTGGGTATGCACTACCTCGAGGTTGTAGAGCCCCAGTTTGATTGGGACTGAAAGATGCTTAGCATGTGTTGCTAGATGGAAGGACCGTTAGACTAGCAAAATACAGGGCTAGCAGGTTAGTGGATTCCTACAGTTGCATGTGTGAGTATGCAGTTTATAACAACGATAAACAAAACCAAGAGGAGGGAATGCATTTGGTCTTTGTCTTTGAGAAAAGGGAGGCCGTTAAATCACCGTGAGAGATAGAAGTCGTCGTCACTAGGTACCCTGATCTGTTTGAGGAGCCTACATGAGTCGTGGAGAGGGAGGTTGTCCATGCTAGTGAGGAGACCAGGTACGTTCCCTCACATCCTCATCTCTCTCTCTCTCTCTCTCTCTCTCTCTCTCTCTCTCTCTCTCTCTCTCTCTCTCTCTCTCTCTCTCTCT